GGGAGGGGCCCGGGCCCTGCGCGGGCACCGCCTGCTGCCGCCCCGGGCACAACGCGTACGGCCGATGCGATCAGGTTAACGCCGCTTTGTGAAAGGATACGCAGCGATTTGTAGCCCACACAAGGCACACGCACAGCGACCTGATGGCTGACGGGCCGAGGCTCCTTGTCCACGCGCCCTTTGCCCTCTGTGGTTGGTCCCGGTGTGGTGTCCACGCGCGCTCCTCTGTCAGACAAACATCTTGTTTTCCACAGTCCAGCTTCCTTATCGTTCTGCTGCGCACGCATTTTCTCCATCCCTTGGCCTTTGCAGGTGTTCCTCACAACAGCTACTGCCCGTTGTTACAGCGAGGCCACTCGGTCTGGACCGCACATAGTATGTCCGTTGTTTTCCAGCCGTTCCACACTCCCCCCTCTTCAAACCCCACCAGTGGGAAGGCCCATGGCCACTCACCTGAGTGTCTGCAGAGAGGGGCTGCCAGTCTGTGTCACAGATGAAGAAGGGCTGCTCTAAGGCCAAGACGATGCTGAGTGACAGCAGGGAGATGTTTCTTAAAGAGGTTGGCACTGAAGAGTTAGGACATCACTGGATTGCTACAGAAACAGGAGACAAGGAAAAAACCCAATCTGAAGTGTCCATGGAACTCCTTCCCTTTCTAATGTGTTTCACGTTTTCCAACCCCACGTGCATACACCTCTATTTACTATTTTTGTTAGTTTCTACTCTTCTAGGTGGTTTTTCTCTAAGTGTATCAGATGCTTTTCATGCTTAGAAACCACAACATCCCCTGGGGGACAGGGAAACACTCTTGCATACAGAGGAGGGAACAGGACCCTGAGAGGAGGCAGCTACATGAACAAGATCAACACCAGAAAGTGAACCCAAAGCACTTGTATCCAGTTTTGTATTCTTTCAAGCAGAATGGCACAAAATTATTTTCACTCACACACAGTAATTTCTTACAACCTTATCAGCTCTAGTAGCCTCATAAAAGCAGTGATGCTGATCAGAGGGGAAAAGCAAGCAGGATTTGGCCCAGAATGGAAAGCCTACAGCAGCCTAAGGTTAGCTTTGAACATGTACATGCACATACAGCCTCAACAGTCCAGCTGCAATGGGTGTCCTGCTGCCCCTTCTCCAGTGACTGTGGCCTCAAAGCTCAGCTCTGCCTAAGCTATTTCTGCCTGTTTATGCATTGGTCTGGGCTTCCTGCATGGTCTACATAAACTAGACAGTGTTTGGGAAACTAGTTCTCAATGTATTGATATCAAACAGCTGCAGTGTCATAGCACTCGATAAATCAGAGCACATGGCATCAAGCAGACCACAGGCAGACATCAGGGATAGCTGGAAAGCTTCTAATTAAACCTGAACTGCCTGCTCACAGGATTCTGTGCTTCTCTGAAAGCCTGGGAATTGGAGGAGAGACCTGAAAACTAAATAATGAAATATCTTCTCTTTTTCAACACCTCACGGGAGAGGGAAAGGTGATGCAGGAGTCAGGATCCAGAGACTAAAGGGCACCTGCTTTGCGCTGGCATTATCATCACTGCAGCTGAAGGATGTCTGCGAGTCCTTTGAAGAAGGTGAGGCTTGGAGAAATGCCAGGAGCTAGCATCCATACCAACAGCAGAGAAGGCAAAGAGACAGATGATGACAGATTTTTCTCATCAGCCTGAGGAATTGACAGGAATCTCAGTTCCCAGCTTCCCTACAGGATCGGTGTTCAGACATTACTGTGCCTTGGAGGATCCCCCAAAACCTCCCTTCATACTGAGTACAGGAACTGGTACCTCTCTAGAAGTAGCCATGATCCCCCTCAGCAGAGCAGCTGTAATCCCAGTTTTACTTGGGTGAAGTTAAAAACCAGTCCCATCTCGAAAAACATCCTCACTTACTTTACAAAGAGCCTCAGAAAGGGTGAGGAGGGGATTAAGCATCACTCACCTGCAGCACTCTGCTCGCCCACCTGCAGCCCCAGCACACAAGGTGGCTGTGCAAAGCCCACACTGTTCTCGTGGGTCCCACACATCTCGCCCTGTGCCCTCGGCTCAGCAGCTCGATTGTGTCCACATCAAGAAGGGCAGAATAGTGCTGGTGATACTGTTCCAAATCCTAGAGGAACAAAACATTAGCTCATTAGCTAAGGCTCCATGGACTTGGAGAAGCCATTTAACTTCCTCCTTTGAACACAAGCACAGCGTCCCCCCCTCGGCTGGAAGTCATCAGCCATGCTATTAAATGCCAGGATGAAATCCAGAGACTTACCTTCTTCACCCAGAAAGTGATTTATCTGGAGGACTTTTGCAGAATGGGAGGAACGAACTCGCACGTGACATCCACTTGCATTATCTGTGCCTCCCCTGCCTTGCTCCCCACGATGCCGTGGCACAGCAGCTGCTGCTTCACTACCTGCACAGAGTCACCCATCACCCAGCAGAGGCCAGCAGGGTGCTGGCTACCCACGCAACTGCCATAAATTTAGTCTCTTCAACAGCCCCTTTTTCTTTTTATGTTGCATCTTTTTTATTCTGCTCTCAAATGTCCATAATGCTACACCCCACTATCCACAAAAAGCCCTTGTGAGTCATGTGCTGCCTACAATTGTAGAAGTACCTGCCCCAAATGATTACTATTTTGATTTGTCCCACTGCCAAGCACAACACTTACAGAAAGCTGTAGGAACTGATTAAAAAATAATAAAACTATATTAAGGGAAACAGGTGATAGAAGGGCCAATGCCAGCAAACCCTCCCTTGGAAGCTTAGTGGACTTTTCCACAGGAAAAACCCAAATAGTCAGCCTGCCTTTAGGTAAAGAGGGGGTCACTTATTCCTAGCAGGTACTGTGCCCTCCTAGAGCTGATTTTAAAAGAAACCTCCCCAGGAAAGAGATGTTTTGCACTTCATATGAAAACCCTTTGCTTAAGCTGGATGCTCTCACACTGAAGATTTTTCCTGGTTTCTCATGGTTTCAATTCCCCAAATTCTTCCCTTCATCTCTCACTCTTTCCCCTGATTCAACACCAAAACCTCCTCAGAGTCTACAGACTTCAAAGTCATCCGTGTTGTACGTGCAGTGCAAGGAGTTGGGCTTCTGACCAGCCTCAAGAGTATTAAGTTCTCAAGACCCAAGGAAGGTGGAAAGCCCACTCCCAGGGTCTTGGCTTTGACTGCAGGAGCCAGGTAGCCACAGTTGAGCTCACAGATCCCCTTTTGGCTTTCCAGGCAAGACACCCTCACCAGCACCCTGATCACTTTATTTACTTTCTGGTACCTTTTCCCCACTTCAGCAAAACCTTTAGGCTCAGAACTGCACAGAGACAGTCAGTTTGGTGAGTAATCAAGTCTTCCTCAAGCTACCACTGAGGCAAGCCTTTAAAACACTTTTCAAAACACAAGTATCAGCAGGAGCTTAATGCAGATTTACTCCACATTTGCCTAAACATCTGTGCCCAGCAGTCTCAGAGAGAGGGAATGCACACCAGTTAGCTGGCAGCTTCTCTGCAGAGCTGGATTTCCCCTGGAAAGAAGGATCCAGGGAGGAGAACATCCAGTCACCTGGCTGAAATAACCCCCTCTGAGCTGCCATCCAAGGGTGCTGCAAGACCTGCCTGCCCTTGGGACCCTGGGACTGGCTGAGAGACTGGGGCCAGCTCTTATGGAAATATTGACAGAAGTCAAGCTGTCAATTGTAATGATCCCTGGGAACAGTTTCCCATGTGGATGAACATTACCTCGATCGTTAAGAGCTGACACACTGTGTTCATTTTTCTCCTTCAGGACTCAGCACTAGACAAGCCCTCTGCTGCCCATGTTTGTCTACAGAGGAAAAATGATGCTGCTTCCAGACATTCCCTTCCTCCACAGGTGTTTTGTTTTACTCACTGCTTCCCCCACATATATTACTTCACATTTTTTAATTCACTTTCTGCCTGTGCTCCTAGTCTAAGTGTAACTTATTTTCTCTGTCCTTTCTTCCTGCCTCAGCACACAACACCTTGTAACCTGCTGTTTGCCCCTGAAGTAGCAATATTTCCTTCAGCCCCTGCTTTGATATCAGCAGATTGGGTTTACAGTAGCCATGGAAACATGAAAAAAACTTAGCTACTGATGGTGGCCAGCAAGGAAAGCAACTGGTGCTGCCATGGTAACTTGTGACTTTTGAACAGTTTCTTGAAAGCACTTGCTCATTTTCTCAGGCAAATGTCAAGGGGCTACAGAAGTCCCAGTGGAGGTGATTTGATGGGGAAGGCTCTCCTCGGGGAGACCTCACGTGGGGAGTGCTGGAGAAGCTTTCCAGCATCATCTCCATAGTCTTGCCCGACATCAGCTCCATCCTTAGCAGTTGAAGCTTAAACACAGGGCAGGCAGGTTGGGGCTCTGGGAGGAACCTTTGCCCTTGGCGGTGCTGGTGGCAGAGACACGATCACACTGGTGAAATGGGGCAAAATCTTCTGTTGTCCAATAGAGCTGATGAGCATTGTCCTTTGATAGTGGTAACAGCGGGGATCCAAGCTGGAAGAGAAAAACAGGGAAAATGTGATAGGAGCTGCTATCTCCCAGCAGTCACCCAGCTTCATCACCCTGATGGCATTATCTGACTGCACACTCAGCAATAAAAGCACCTCCAAAAAGGTTGACCTAGCTCAAAGCTTTAACAAAAGCCAGACATTGGTTGCCCCAAAGTTTATCAGCATCCAGCAGCTGCTCTGTTAGTGTACAGCAAGAAAGAGCTGCATGAAGATCATCTCAGTTGCTTCAGACAGTGTCACCAGTCTTTGGTGCTTAATGCTTGGAGTGTTTTTCCAGGGTGCTTCCTGCAGGTCTCATTGCATCAGATGCTAAGCTGGCCTGTCCTGGCTGCAAGTGGATGGAGGAACAGTTTCGCTGCCATTTCACCTTCCCCTTGGTGACCTGGGCACCGCTTGCCTCACTGGTGGGGCCCCTGCCCTGACACCTACGTTATCCTCTCACCCTTCCATCCCTGAGGCAGCATCCAACCCTCATCACCCCCAACATATCATCCTTTTCCTGAACGGTGCAGCTGGTTTTGTGTTTTAGGAAGATAAATGCACTGTGAGAACATAGGATCAACAGAAGTTTCCTCAATACAAACATGGCAGCAAGACCAGGTCTAGCTGCTGAGGGAATGGAATGACAATGAGAGATGAGTAACTACAGCTACATAGAAAACAAAATGAATATTCAATGGAAATTGATTCCTTCATGTAAAGAAACACTAACTGCAGGCTAGTCTGGAGTAATTATTTTACCCTCTATAAATCTGAGCGTGACCAGGACATGAATTGTTCCTGGAACAATTACTGGTTTTTTGACAGGGTCAGAATAAATGGCTTACAAAATGCATGTCTGCCACAAGCAGCTAAATACACAGACCCGAGAGTATAGAACAAACTAGTCTTTGAAACAGACTGTCAAAAAATAATGGGTACATTCCATTAGTGTGGAATGGTTTATGTGGTGGACAACACAGGTGGAAGCCTGGAGAAGCTCTGGGTGGATGCAGAATTTGTGGCTCTGGGAAAGCCCAACTCATCTGAGACCTTACCTGGGTTCCGTCTCAGCTCACCTGGTGGCAGCTCTGCAGCCGCCAGCAACAACTCCAATCTGAGCCTGCAGGCCCAGACGTGCAGGGGGGCAGAGGACGATGACACAAATCACACTGCCATTGTCCCCTCCCTTGTGTAGCTGATTTGTGGCTGCACAGAGCACACGACACACTTGACAAGCATCAACCTCCCTGCAATGTCCCTGCTTATGTGAGTGGCTTGTGCATGCATATTTAAATCCCCAAAATCTTTCCTAAATGCTTAAGGTAGTATTAACCTGCTCCTTCTACCCCAAAATTTAGGTACTGGAGCACTGTGGACCCTCTTTGCAGCCAGGGAAAGGAACAGGCACCTCGAGAAGGCTATTTTTCTCGTCCCAAGAGGTCTCCAACACAAGGCAAACAGCACTTTGAAAAGGCTTATTTTTCTCCTGTTTACAAGAACTTCCTTGGTTTCAGACACAGGCTTTAAGACTGGTGAATCCCCTCCTTCCAGATAAAGCCCTTTAATTAACACTCTCCATTTAATCTGCGCAAACTCAGTGGACCTCTCCTCCTCTCCCTTTCTGAGCTGGTTCTGCAGCCACCCTCACCCTTGGTGATGCCGAGGAAAGCAGGTGGGAGAAATGAGGGAAGAGCAACTACATCTAATAAAGAGCAGCCCATCAGGGGAGATGGGGAAGGTGAGCAAACTGAGGGATGATACGGGGCAAAGAAATTCTGCTGCTCCTCCAGGACTGCAGGGCAGCAGGCAAACAAAACAGCACCACTAATTTAGTCAAGGACCTGCTAAGAAGCTGCCACCAAGGTTTTTCGCTGTTGCAAGATGATACTCCATAGTGAAGGGAAAAACAAGCAACATTATTGCAAAGGGAAATATGTTTATACTTGTAGCATTTTCCACCCAGAGGCTTCCAGGACCTGCTGTTTTCCTCCAAATCTTTATTTGATAAAGTGAGAAAATACATGTATTATAAGTAAAAACAATTCAGTGAATTTAGCAACTGGTTTCCATTTTGGTGGCTCTTGAGGGTATCTAATGACTTTCAAACGGCCATAGAAGGTTTCCAAAGGAAGCCCTGTGCCTCCAGAGAAACAGAGCCAGGACCTTGAGCGCTGAAGAACAACTTGCCTGAAGGACTACAGCAAAGCTCCTCCTTGCTGAGCCCACGGCAGAAGCAGACACTGAGATACCCTACCTGAAGTGGGGTCCCAAGATGAGCTCCAGAGCAATGGATTGGTTGGTGACAGTTGTGACGCCAATGCCAACAGCCTGGACAGGGATAATGTAGGTGTGACTGCTCTCTATGAACAGGTTCACCTTCTTCTTGAATTTCTCAGTGTCATCCAAGTTTGCTATGACAGCCACAGACACCTCTGTCTTGGGGGGAATCGCTCCTTCACTGGGTTCAATCCTCCAACATAAGCATTTGCCAGCCTGTAAGACAAGCCAAACACTAACTTAGGATGGAAACCATGGACCCTGATCTCTTGTGGGGTGCAGGAAAAGGAAGGGTTAAAGATAGAGGGTAAAAAACATAAAGGCTCCACTTCCCTCAATCTAAGCTACGCTGTCTGGAAACAGCAACTATGCAGGAGCTTATACAACTTGTATTTTACCCTCCTTTAACAGACTCACTTCATTAACCTAGTTTTGCCCAACCCAAGGGATGCTCATCCTCAGGAGGAGGTTATTCCCCCTCCAGTCTCTCTTTTGGAGCGCACACCAAGGGAACCTACTTTATCTCTCTTGGCTTCTCAACAGTAGTGGCTGGGTTGGCATAAAGGCTCAAGGCCAGAGGAAGCCAGGACTGCTCAAATCCCACTGCAGCAGCCACATGACTGGGGGATACTGCTGAGAGCCTGAAGAGTAACTCTGCAAAACCAGCTGATCAAAACCCCAACACCAAAGTCTTCTTTCCCAAGAGTTACTCAGTGCTTCGCAACAGCCCCCGAAGAACTGAAGCACTCGGTTCCCACTGATCACCAGCTGCAGTTAGGTGCCTCAGTGCCCTGTGCTTCAGAAAATTCAGCTATAAATGTTCATAGCATGGCAGTATAGCAATAAGAAGAAAGCAAAGTAGAAGATATGTGCCCTGTACACATGGCCCAAGCTTCCCAAGCACTCTCTTCCCTCTGGTTTCTCATGGACCTCCCTCCACATTTGGGGCAGCGAAGGTGCTGGACCCCAGCCCCTCTAAAACCACATTCCCAGGGAGCAAGCCTGCAGAGAGGAAACGCACACAATGGTCCCTGGCCAGCGGGAAATGCACTGGGATGTAGATGTACAGCTTCCAAGTGTCCATCATGGTGGTGGTGGTGCCTCTGCCTCTGGTCCCTCTTTTGGGACGACAGCCACAACTCACCCAAAAGTCTGCAGTATTGTATAAGAAAAGATTTTTCCCCTTTCATTTTTTAATAGAAAGCAACAATGTGGTTGGAGGCCTGACATCCAAGGAAATGCTTGATCCAGGTGAAGTTAGCTCAAGTTTCCATCCATCAAGCTGGCAGCACTCCGCTCTAACAGGGCACCAGCCAGCCCAAGGGAGAAGAGTATCAGAAAACCAAGTAGCACTTAGAAGTCATGGGAAGCATTTTAAATAACCCCCCAAAGCGACCTCTGCTAGGAAGGGTAAGACTAGCTGGGGGCCAGGTAAGCAATAACTTGCTGAGCAGGCAGGGTCCCAGCAGCGTGTGGAGGTGCCCCAGATACGAGAACTCCTTAGGCTGGCTGTGCCCTGCATGGAGAGCAGGTCAGGTCTGCACACCTGCACCCTGGGATGGAGCATGCCAAAGGCATCAAAATTATTCCAGTTGCTGGCAAAATCAATCAACTCAACTCCATTTAATTTGTCCTCTAGAGCTGCAAAAGAAAGTCTTCATAAAAAGCAAGAGGAGAAGGGGATGGAGGAAGGTCATTGGCACAGGGTAAACAACTCTGGGGCCTCACAGACCACACAGGATCCCACCAACCCTCCTCTGCTGCCCCTGCATCCCGTACGCAGCCCATCACTAGCCTCAGTGTTGCCTAATGATGCTTAACGACCTGGCTCAGGGAAAAACAACACAGCAGCCAACCCCAGGCCGCTCGGTCCATCTGCACACAGACATCAATGTGATGGATGGCAAATGGCGTTTATTATTGTATAACATCGCTTTTTATACCCTGGGTTTATGACGTCACATCCGTCTGCCTACGTTTTATCTTCCCGTACAACACGGTATCTTCCGAGTGCCAGACCCTAACTCCCACATTTCCCCCCCCCCCCCCCATGCTATTTTAATGGTATGACAATACTTGTCAAAT